ATCTAAAGATGCGTCGGCCTTTGCAAGGATTTTGCACATCACTGTGCTGCAGCCTGAGAATGGGTCTGTTTCAGGGTCTGCACAGGGGCAGTGGATTTGACAGCAGCTCTGAGGCTTACCCAGTGCTCCAGGCGCATGGGAAAGTGAGACACAAATCTTCCCTCTGCTCTCTAGGCCTGGGGCAGTCATCCCAGCTGGTGGCTCTGACAAATCTAGCTCAGAATGTAACTTCTGTTGTGAACACTGGATTTTCCTTGGACAAATAGTTCTGACAATATCTTATTTCAGTTCAACTAGTATAATCCATTGCTCACACTTCTCATTCCATTCTTGCTTTCGCAATCAGTGGACCCTGTTCTGTGCCCACTGTTCTCTGCATCTCTCCCTGCTGGTCCAGCCTCCTGCAAAGGTTCAGCTCCCAGAAGAGACTCCTGTATGCACTGCCCTGGAAGAAGCAACACTATGAGTAGAATGGCAAGATTTTGTCACATCAGCACTGGGGATATCTCACCATTACTCTGGGCCTGTTGAAGCCATCACATACTCTCTGAATCTGAGTTTTCATTTTTGGCTCCATGTAACCCTACCTCAGCAGCTCTTGCTTTCAACATGGGGATGAGCTGAAGAAGAGGTTTGTAAATGACAAGTATCAGTCACTCTTCACCATGCAGGGGTGGCTGTGTCCTTCTGTGTCAGGTTTTGTGCCAGCAGGGTTGTGCCTCGCAAGCTCTTCCAAGGTCCTCCATGCAGTCCGTGTTCCCTCAGCTGACCACATTGTCTGGAAGTTAAGGTCACCTCCTCATGCACTGGAACAAGCAGCAGAGTCAAGTGGACAGTGTCAAGTGGACTGACACCACCAGCTCCTACGGGAGCCCCAGATGGTAATGCCTGCTGGTCTCCAGCTTGCACGGTTCTGGTTTCGGGCTCTTGCTCTAGGTTTGGTCACTTGGGCTCCTGCAATACTCTGGGATCCTGTGTGAGGACAAGGGTGATGATCACTGTTCCAGATGTGGAAAGAGCCTCGTGTGTTAACCCAGGACACCTGCCCCATGGGGACGCGAGGCACAGGCCTTCCATCTGATCCCACAGCCTGGCCTATAGACTCGCTTTCATTTTGTGTGACTGTCACCTGACTCAGGACATTCCTGCAGTCATTCTTTCCTCCAGGACTGAGGGACTGAGGCCATTCCCTGGGTCTGTGGCCTCCTATCCAGTCGACCTATACACTGGGTTTTTAGGATAAAACATCCCCAGCCTGGGCATTGCCACACAGGCAGGCAGCTCAGAAAGAAAATACTCTTGGTGATTCCAGATGTCCCGGCACATAGACTTGGTGTGTGTTTGTGTCCATGACTAAGGTCATATTTGGGGTTAGGAGTGAGAGTGGTCACCATATGGTCCAGGAAGAATGTGCTGAGGTTTCTGTTGTCAAAGATAAAACTTGTCCACCTTCCTGCCCTTCCTTGTACCCGAGGCAGCCACCTGAAGCCTGCAGGTTTCTGAGACTCTCCATAAATGGAGAGGAAACATCCTGTAGAATGGATGACTGGGACAGAAAGACAAGATAGGACAAGGGTACAGGTGTCAGCAAGGGCTAAACAGCAAGTATGCACTTGCTCATGCCAAAGAATACTGAAATAGCTTTGAGGGTAATTCAGTGTCCTTGAGATTAAAAACAAATTGGAGATGGAGGGCTTCAAACCCCCATTAGGTCCTTGTGCAAACAGATGCTGAATTCCGAACCACATCAAGAGGCTAAAAAGATGAGGCAAAATCTCTGAATGACAGGTGGAGGGGATTTCTACAGTTTCTTGGTGCTTAAGAGACAGGGACCGGCCAGGCACTCACCTGAAAAATCCTGCAGGGTCACAGCACAGGGAAGGGAATGTGTTGGATACGTAAGACGACTTTTATGATGAAAACACCAGCTCCACCACCGATAATGGTTTTCAACATTCATACTTAGGTGCATACACAACCTCTAGCAACCATAATTACCACAAAGGACAGGCGTTGTGTAAACTTTTATGAGGTTCTATGTTATAAAATAATTACACAAGATGTATAAATAATGTGGGCACTAATAAGGTGAGGTTATATGTTGCAATATCTAGGATTCCTATTAAACTTATAAAATGCAAAATTAAGTAGGTACTAATGTAAAATGATACAGTAGAAACACTTACTTGATTCATGAAAAATAAAAAGTGAGAAAAAAGAAATAAAGCAACAAAGCCCAACTGAAATAAAGAGAAAGGTGAACTCAGACACAATATTCAGCAATTATATTCATTGTAAATGTTTTGATGATCCAGATAAAAATACATTTCCTTAAAATAAAGTTACTTGTGTGTTAAATTTTAAAGGATGCTAAAAATGCACTATGCAAACATTCACCTGTAGAAAGCTCTTGTGGTTATCTTGTTATCGGACCAAATAATTTTAATGAAAATTATTTACATCAGGAAATGTGGGACATTTTATGTGTATAAAATGAAATATTCAACAAGAACACATAACAATTATAAAATACACATCAGCCCATTCGTGGTGGCTCACATCTGTAATCCCAGCACTTTGGGAGGCCGGGGCGGGTGGATTACTTGAGCTCAGGAGTTCTAGACCAGCCTGGGCAGCATGGCAAAACTTCAACTCTAAAAAGCACAGAAAAAACAATTAGCCAGGCATGGTGGCATATGTGCCTGTAGTCCCAGATACTTGGGAGCCTGAGGTAGGAGGATCCCTTGAGCCTGAGAGGTGGAGGTTGCAGTGAGCCAAGACAATGCCACTGCACTCCTGCCAGGGTGACAGAGTGAGATAATGTCTCAAACAACAACAACAACAACAACAACAACAAAAATGCCCACCCACAAAAAGACCCAAAAAACACGTCCCTAATAATATAATTTATATAAAACATAAATTAGCAGGACTAAGGAAAAGAATCAATTCACAATTATAGTTATAAATAATGGCATACACGTTGTTATTAACTGAGTGAATCGGCAGAAAAAAAATTGCACATAACAATATGTGAACAACCTGTTTAACCAAATTGACCACTGACACCAGGACCCCAAACCTGAAGAGTAGTTGGCTAATAAATATGTATTCCTGAAAAGATTGAATAAGTGCAAGAAGAAATAAATGAGGCATTCATTATTTCTACCTGATTTTATGCTTCTCCTCTCTGTCCTGTGAGCAGGGGGCACTCCCGTGTCTATTCCTAGTCCCATTCTTATCCCCTCCTCTCTCTCCCCAAGACTGAGCTGCATTCTGCAGGGTGGTTCCCATCCCTCTGGAGCAAATGACTGAGGCGAGGAGCCCTGCCTTCCAGTGCTGCTGTTTCCATCGTGCTCTGGTTTGAATGTCTCCCTTCCAAAAGGATTTGTACTTAATTGCCCGTGTGATAGTATTAAGAGGTGGGCCTTCAAAAGGTGACATAGTCTTGAATATGGAGACCTCATGGTTGGGATTAGGGCCCTTATACAAAGGCTGGAGGTAGCAGTGTGCTCCGTCTCTCTTCTTTCCACCGTCTGCCGTGTGAGGACACAGAAAGAAGACACTTATCAGATGACAGTGCCTTGATCCTGAACTTGCCAGCCTCAAAAATTGTGAGAAAGCTGGGCGTGGTGACTCATGCCTGTAATCCCAGCATTTTGGGAGGCAGAGACAGACGGATCACGAGGTGAGGAGATCGAGATCATCCTGGCTAGCACGGTGAAACCCCGTCTCTACTAAAAATACGAAAAATTAGCCGGGCATGGTGGTGGGTGCCTGTAGTCCCAGCTACTCAGGAGGCTGAGTCAGGAGAATTGCTAGAACCCAGGAGGTGGGGGTTGCAGTGAGCCGAGAACACGCCACTGCACTCCAGCCTGGTGACAGAGCAAGACTCTGTCAACAAAACAAAACAAAACAGTGAGAAAATGAATATCTGTTCTCTATTAATTACCCAGTCTGTGGATTTTGTTGTAGTAGCACAAAGTGGACTAAAACATGTGTGTGTCCTTCAGACCTTGATTTTACAAAAAGAATATAAAACAAATTTGCTTCTCTGCATATTGCGCTCTCTCTCGCTCTCTCTCTCTCATCCTGCAATAACAGCAAATGAAGACAAAAACCACCCCATCAACGCAACTGCAACCATCAGCCTCATCCCCACTCCTCCCTCACTTTGTGTCAAGGGCCACAGTCACCCGTGGGTTCTTCCTCCTGAGCCTCCTCCAGCTCCCAGGGACCAGCCCTCAGCCCTCCTGACATATCCTCACCCGCTCTGCTGCCTTCAGGCTCTTTGTTGAACGTGGCACCAAAGATGTCTTTCTAAAGCATCTGTTTCATCCATCCTGTCTGCTGTTTACAACCCCAGATAATGAACCAATCCATTCCCTGTGGAAGGAGCTGCTCAGGCCTCTGCTCCCAGAGCCTTCTGCATTCTCCCCTCACTGCAGCCTCCTCACATTGGGTGGTCCTCGTATTCCTTACATGCCCTTCTTCTAGTAACTCAGAAGTCCTTATAGAAAAGCTCTTTATTAATATCAGTAACTCAGGGCAGAGTGAGTGTGTGACCCATGGATGCTGTGGACCTATGGGGACCAGGCTCTCAGGTGACTCCACTCATGATTCCCACTGAGAGACTGCAGTGTAACCAGTGAGCAGCAGGGGGCACTGTGGGCCTGTCTCAGGGTCTGCACAGAGGGAACCCACAGCTGTGCCACCCACCAGACTCCTCAGGGCAACGTCTTCTGCCCACAGAACTGTGGAAGGTCCCAGCAGCTGCTTCCTCCCTAGTCCTTCCCATGGGGCCAAGTCTGAGTCTTACACGTTAGTCCTTTCCATACCAAGAAGCGAGCTCAGACTGCAGTTGCTTCTCGGGGTGGGGCCGAGGTCACCAAGAAGACAAACAAATATGTGGGAACAGCCCCTCCTCTGTCAGGCCAGTGAAGAAGATAAAAGCAGCCTCAGGTGACAGAGCTGAGACTGGCGTGTCAACTGTGTCCACCATGGTCTGGACATCTCTTCTCCTTGTGTTTCTCTCCCACTGCACAGGTGAGCCAGTTTTCCGGGACCTAGGGCAGCCCCCAGCCTGTGTCAGCATCTCTGGCTTTGAGTCCCAGGGAGCTTAACACTTAACAGCTCCATCATCAAAGTGTGTCTGTGTTTTCAGGTTCCTTCTCCCAGTCTGTGCTGACTCAGCCACCCTCCCTCTCTGCATCCCTGGAAGCATCAGCCAGACTCACCTGCACCCTGAGCAGTGGCATCGGTGTTGATGGGAAAACTGTACACTGGTACCAGCAGAAGTCAGGGAGCAATCCCCGGTATCTCCTGAGCTACTACTCAGACTCAGTTAAGCAGCAGGGCTCTGGAGTCCCCGGCCGCTTCTCTGGATCCAAAGATGCCTCAACTAACTCAGGGATTCTGCACATCTCTGGGCTGCAGCCTGAGGATGAGGCTGACTATTATTGTAAGATATGGCATGACAGCGCTAATGCTTACACAGCGCTCCAGACCCACAGGGAAGTGAGAGAAAAACCCTCCTCCACTCTCCCAGCCTGGTACCTTCACCCTGCTGGTGGCTCTGATGAAGCCGAGGACAGGAGGTGACTTTTGTTGTCACATCTTCAACCAACACCTAATTTTCTTCAAACCAGTAGATCTCAAAATGTACTTTTTATTCAGTTCAACTTTTAGATTGGTATTATATACTTTATCGTCATGTCTTCAGAGACAAAAATCATTTGATTAGAGAATAAAAAATTGGCTGGGAGCGGTGGCTCATGCCTGTAATTCCAGCACTTTGGGAGGCCAAGGTGGGCAGATCCCCTTGAGGTCAGGAGTTTGAGACCAGCCTGGGCCGCAGGAGGCAGAACCCATAGGACTGTTCAGCACAGAGTGAGCCTCAACATAAACTAAAAGCCGTGGTTAATGATAAATTATCAGAACTTATCTATTAATACTGGATTACACAATTTTATCAAGTGTACAAATGGATGCATTATGTGAAAACAGGGAGTCTCTGGAAGGGTGGGATGGGGGAAATGTATGGGAGCTCTGTACCTACTGCTCAGTTTTTTCTTTACACCTAAAACTGCTATGAAAACAAAGTATAATTTAAAAAGAGCTGAAGACAAAAATAATTATTGGATTCTAAAAGTATGTATATGATAGTTTTTAAACCAAAAGTAGGGATTTATGTTTAAACAAACTGTAAAAATTACAGAAAAATGTCAGACTAATAAATATTAATGAACACATAGGGAAGAAATTTGTGGACAATTTATCAGAGAGGTAACAGAATAGGAAATCACAGTTACCCTGTGAAAAGGTGTCACGGAGGATTCATAGGAAACATTTCCAAATGGGCAACAACCGCCATCACAACAAACTAACCCAAATGAAAGAAATCGACAACCCACACAGGGGAAATACGAATGCATAATACGTATATTTGTTGATTTCTACGTGAAAACAAAGAAATGAAAATAAAACCTATGGAGAGAAACGGTGGAGTGAGCTGAGCTGGGATGGGAGGGGTGGGGACATCCCAGGCAGAGGGAAGAGCAGGTGCAAAGCCCTGGAGTCTAGAGTAGGCTGGGGTTTGTGAGGGCAGCAAGTTCATGAGAACTTGACCACAAATGCAAGCTCCACCCCCCAAATAGCCTCCCGCTGGCCACTATTCAGGCCTAAATATATGGGCAAGGTGGGCAGCTGTCAGAAAAGGTGACCCCAAAAGTGCACCACGTTGGGAATTCCGAGGTGTTTGAGAAAGTTGTGCATGAAGGGTGAGGTGGACTCTAGTGGGGAATGTCCTGTTCCCACCTGGACTCCTCTGTCCTTTTCATGGCACATTGTCAGCTTCTAAAGAGCCAGTGGTTTGGGTGCACATTTAGGTTCAAGTGCCTTTTACCTCAAGCCTTAACCTCTTCCCAAAGAGTCAAACGAGCCGTTCTGTTTAAGTAACTTACATTTGTTGTGAAATCTTTCTTATCACTTCAAGAACCCTTCTTCTTCCAAACCAAGTAATCACAAGGCACCTATGAAGTCCCTCCTGGAGAAGATAGAAGGGTGTCTTCTGTTTCTGTGTGGCCCAATATTCCAGGACCCCTAACCAGGGTGATCCAAGGTGCTCAGCACCCACGTTCCTCAGGTGGGTCACAGGCCCTGGAGGGATTGTGGCTGTGGGCCCAGCAGATGGCGCTGTGGGCTGTTCTGAGTAGGAGGGTTTTGGTGTAGCCAAGCTTTAGAGGCCCAAGATATTGTATGAGTGAGTTTTCATCTGGCAGAATTATAAATATTTTCCTAACTAAAAACCAAAACCAAAGCTTTAACAACTGTGCCTTGATGACTCTGTCTTTGCATGCTGTCATCGGTCACTGAACAGGAGCTGAGAGGGAAGAGATAAAGAACAGGAGACCCATGTCGGGGAGGGTCCCTGTGGGTGTGGGAGTGAGGGTGGGTGGGAATTTGGCCAAACAGGGCTAATCCACAAGAGTGGAGTCTCCTGTGAGACTTTCAGAATGAGCAGGAGTGAGGTAGGTGGAGGGGGAGGGTCGGAACATCTCATCAGAAGTGAGAATCTACAGGGGAGACGTTGGTCATTCCAGTCAATGAGAAAAGTGACTTTGACCTGAGCCTAAGGTCACTGGATCAGGGAAAGGGCCAGGAGGAGCTCCTTGAAGGGAGACTGTGAGCTTGAGAGGTAGGTTGAGGCAGATCAGCACGATGACCCCTGAGAAAGGCACACAGAGTCACTGAAGGACTGAGAGGTGGCAGGGACAAGCTCACATGGGCCTTTGGTCAGTGACTCTCCAGCTGCAATGAGAATGAAATGGAGAAGATCCGGAACAGGGAAAGAGGCTGGGGGTGCTGGTGCCATCCTGGCGAGATGGTGGTGCATGGGTCTAGGTTAGTTAGAGTGGAGATGAAGAGCAGAAAGCAGCTTTGTGATGTCTTTATGTCACAGGATACATTAGACATGAAGAGGGCTTGGACTTTGTGCATGAACGATATAGATGCTTCTAGGCTGACTCTCCTGTTTCTAATTGAGAATTCGGATGGTGACTATAGTCCAAAGAAATAGAAAACTTTGAAATCATATTTTATTTTGTTTTTTAACTCACAAATTAGGAAGGTAGATATTTGTATGTTTTTGCTTTATTTGCTCAATGATTCTTTTAATAGTTAAAAAAATTACTTAGAAACTACTAGGTGTCTATATTCTCTAGGGTTTTGTCTCCTGTCCTGATGATATCTTTTTTCTTTCTCTGGGTTCAGGAGTCACTTCCCAGGTTGTGGTGACACAGGAACTTTCACTGTCCACACCTCCTAGAGGGACAGTGACATTCACCTATGGCTCCAAAATTGGGGCTGTCATCTGGGCATCTCATGACAGCTGGGTCCAATAGAACATCTGTGACTGTCTTCGGGGTCAATGGTGGACACAAGCAATCAGGTCCTGGGACCCCTGGGTTCCCTGCATAAAGAAAAAGTCACCCTGATTATAATGGGGGCAGAACAAAATGAGGCCCAGTTTTACATGCTTGGTGGCATCTGCAACGTCAGTACACGGACAAATACAAGTGGGAAGCTAGACTTTAACACCTTGGATCAAGCCTCAGTCCTGTGCTTCCAACACACATTTTTTGTTTCTGAAGGCTGGTTTCCAGCTACTGTAGACTCAGGTCATTTGTTCTTCAGGCCCCCAGTGGATCACCACAAGCACTTTTTCTATCAACCATGGCAGTCATTTTGGATTAAAGGTGCACTTCCTCCTACTTAAGTGATAGGTAACACTGTGGCATATTTGGTGAACTTCAATTAAAAAGACTAAGGTAGAGGAGACAGAGATATGAAGCTTCAGAAACATTTAAGCAGATGGAAAGCAGGCTACAGGATAATTCATTTCCAATATTTTAATCTGAAATTAAAATATTTGAATTTGAAATTAAATACATACAAAGGGAAATTATCTCATTTCTCCTGATACTGACAAAGTAAAAAAAAAGGAAAAAACCCAATAAAACAAAAGCAAGTACTATTTCAGATCTATTGACAAAACTCTAGAAAGTCTTATAATATAATATCCAGAATACGTAGGATACAGTAAAAAATTAACTTTCCATGTGAAGGACCAGAAGAACACAACTTAAATAAGAAAAGACAATTGACGGACACCAGTACTGAAACAATATAGGAGTTGACGTTATGTAACTGAGATTACTTAAGCAGCAATTACACAGTCCCTTCAGTGAGCAATTATAGACATTATTTTTTGAAGTTTTATTTTAGGCTCAGGGGTACATGTGCAGGTATGTTACCTATGTGACCCATAGGTTAACTTGGGTCACAAGGAACATTCTTGAAACGAGTGGAAGAGAAGCAAATCCCAGAAAAGAAAAAGAAGTCATAAAAACAAACCAAATTAAAATTAGAGAACTGAAAAATGCAATAAATGGAATTAGAAACAATAGTTTGGAGGGACTCTGGAACAGGTAACAGTGAAATTAAAATTCAAGCATTAGAGGAATTATTTACGGTAGAGAGGTACAAACAATAGTCACCTCAGCCCAGCAGGGGGCGCTGTGGATCTTCTCAGAGGTGAGCAAGGCCGGAAATGAACTCCCAGGGATCTCATTTACGGCTCCTGGGCCCATAGTCACTGGCCTGAGTTGGGGGTTAGTGCAGGTGCTTTCTACCAAAGGGCAAATTCAGAGCTCCCAACAGCCCAGCCTCCCCAACAGAGCGACTACTCCCTGGCTGAGCACTCAGAACCCATGGAGCTGGTGGTTTTGGTAAAGAATCCATATTTGCGTAATGCCTCATCCAATCACACATCTTCACCCAGGGAGCTGATGAAGAGTTAGAGGAACAGTCTAAGAGTCCAGCAGTGGCTGAGGGTCCTGGGGATCTTTGGAAAGTCCACACCATGGCCTGGATGCTTCTCCTCTACCTCCGCTTTCTCCTCACTCTCTGCCCGGGTTCATGGAGATTTCAGACGGGCCTTTGGAGGGATCCCTCTGCTTCTCTTCCTCATTCCTAACATGTACCTGTTTTTGTTTCTTGGTTCAGTTCTCAGGCTGTGGTGACTCAGGAGCCCTCACTGACTGTGTCCCAAAGAGAGACAGTCATTCTCATGTGTGGCTCCTGCACCATGGCTGTCACCAAAGGTCACTAACCACACTGGATCCATACTGGATCCTGACCAAGCCCTCAGGACACTGATGTATAACACAAATAACAAACACCCCTGGATGCCCACTTGATTCTCAGGCTCCCTCCTGGGAGAAAAGCTGCCCTGACTCCTCAGGGGCCCAGCCTGAGGATGAGGCTGAGTATACTGCAGGCTACACCACAGTGGTCCTTAGCACAGTGAGAGACCCAGATGGGGAAACAGGACATGAACGAGCTTTTGGCTGATCCTGGGTACAAACATGAATGTGGGATATCAGGATCACATGGCCAGATACCTGAGATCTCAGGGACACCTTAATTTTAATTATCCATAGAGAGAAAGGTGGGTGGAAGGTGTAAATTGATTCCTGTATCTGTTTGAATTTTAGAGTGGAAAATATTTGTGAATGATTTGGGAGACGTGGGTTCCCAAA